TGAAGCAGGATCCTCCGGCGAAACCCGTGAACAGATTAAAGACCCGAAGCCCTCCCTATAAGACCCATATTGTAATCAAGGGTTTAACTGTTTATAGCTATCATAGAGAAGCAGGAATGTATTCATAATCGCAATACTCTGCAAATCTTAATTTGCAGCCACAATTACAAAGCTACTAAGGGTACAATCTATGACGACCCCAATAGGAAAGCTGTGACTTGTGCACATGCTAGACTCGGCCCGGAGCAAGGCGGGCACAAGATCGTACGTTGCTAGAGTCGGGGCACGAATCACGATTGCATGGGATGTATATTATACACCCTAAACCGCAAACCCCTAAACCCTAAACACTTTGGGATCTCAGAGGTTCGGATCTTAAGGGGTGTTAGGTTTTGTCAGAGGTTGAAGCGACCCCCCAACTTATGGCATCGTAACCATATCTAAACCTCGATATCAAGCCCCACATCAACCCTACGCCAAGCCCCACTAAGATTAAAACCGCAAGCTGCAATGTCGTTCAGGGCGATGAAGGGCAAGACCGGCGGCTCGCATGCGGGATCCTCCGCAGGCGGCAAGCCCAAATCAGGCAAGAGCAAGTCTGCCAAGAAGGAGAAGAAGGATTCGAAGGAGCCGAAGAGCAAGAAGGAGCCAAAGTCCAAGAAGGAGAAGAAGGCTAAGGCTGACTAGGTTCTCTCAGCTCCAAAGGAGCTGGTTGCTAGCTGTGTGAAGCATAGCTTTTGCCGTGCAACGATTGCATGCTTGGGCCTAATCAGAACAGTTGTAATCTACTTCAGGGCTAGGCTCAGCTAGTCGGTGTGCTAGGTGCATGTTGAGGACGGCATGTAAGTCGTTGTTGTGCGATCCGATGCAAAATGCATCCCGCCACCTGCTAATTATGTGCTTTGGGGAACCGAGATGAAAGTTCGAAAGCGACCCGGAAACACCAGAGCAGCCGAAGTTGCTGTATGAATTGCTCATATCCGACAGCTTTCCATGTGCAAGTTATATTATGGATTAAACCTACATCCCTCGCCCTCGCAGGTGTTTTAGATGATGCTGAAGCTGCTGCGACGCATGAAGGCCGGGACCACAAGATACATAAGTTAGGAGTCTATGTGCATGTGTACACACACATCAATATATATATATATATATATGTATATATATATATACACGTATATATGTATGTGTGTCTTGTAACATGTGCATGTGTATGCACTCTATTCACGTATGTATGTCATATGTGTGTAAATATGCAGTAGCTAGGTATATAGGATGCAGTCAAGCAGTACTTGTTGCTGCAGCAGTCCTGCCCAGAACGATCGGACTGCAGCGACTCCGACTGCGACGACCTCGCAGAAGAGCTCTTCGTGGGATTCGAGGAAGGGGACCCCGGGCTGATCTATATAGCTTATGCAACTTAGGCCTATAGGTCTATAGGTGGTAGTTGTTGGGTTGGTTGTGGTGTCGTGTGGTGTAGGCTCTCGGGTATTCGCTATGGAAACAAGCTCAGGCTGATTCTGCTAAGCGAGTGGTTCGCTTGGCTCAAGTAGCAAACAATGCCTTTCGAAAACATGGCCGCTTAACTTACCAGCTTCATCAAGTTTATAAGAACGAAAGCGAAACCCTCACGCACAATATTTCTGAACATGTACTGGGGGGCCTTGATTTTATATCGTTGTCTTGGCAGATTTGATCCGAGGCATTGTTGACCCCTTCTTGGCCCGCTTGGCAAAATGTGCTCGCGGCAAGAAGAACGAGTGCAGGAATCTTCACAGACTGATTCATGCAACGGGCAGAACTTTGCCTGTGGAGATCGGTGGTGTGCAAACTCTTGTGCGAGTGTTGTCTGGAAAGCCCAGAAATGAGACTGTGACATATCCGGTGCTCTTTCTGTCCTCCTGGTGTCGAGAATGCTTCGAGAACGGTGGCGAAATGCTGCTTGGAGGTTACAGCCTCTCCGAGGACGAGCACTGGCGGCCCATGTTTCGAGAATTTTGGCAACGCTATAGATTCTCCCGGCCGGACCTGGATTTGTATCGAGACCGGTCTTTCAATCACGATTTTTGTGTACCTATACAAGTACACGGTGACGAAGGCCGTGGCCGAGCAAAGCGGCCATTGATGGTGATTAGCTACCAGCCAGTCATCGGCTGCAAGGGGCCGCTGGTGACAAATGCTTCGGGGTGCCCTGTTTACAAACTTTTATATTTGTTCATATTATCATATATTAATGTGTATATATTGGAGGTTCGTGGGGTTATCTTGTTCATTCATTCTCCGAGTTGGTTCTTTAAGATTCAACCACAGGCACAGTTTTACGACGAGGCTGCTGTTTACTGTTGTGCCCTCGGAACTCTACGTCGGCGACGAAACACTAGATGCCCTGCACACGGCAATGGTTGCGGACTTCAAGGAGCTTTATGAAAATGGTCTTTCAGTTCTTGAGCTGCATCGCATAGGTGAGTTGATCGGCTTTTCGTGTTTTACGACTAGATACCAGCTTCGTTTGATGGTTCGGGTTAAGCCTTAAGCTTTGAGGTGGAGTGCGGCGACTGCACATTCCGCCTACGCTTCATTCCAATCTGTGTGAAGGGCGACTGGCCATTTTTACGCAAGGCTGGCCACCTAGAGACTGGATATACGTCCAAGAGGGTGTGCCATCTTTGTAACGGCTTAGTCACTGGGCTTTTGTTAAGCTTCTAGATAGCCAGCCTATTCGAGGTCTTATGAGTATACTGCTTGGGTTAATTGTTTAGGGCAGTTTGGGGTCCACAAGCTTTGGGTCCAAACCCTAACCCTAGACTAGACAACTCGACTCTTTCCTCGATCCTTCAGCCCTCTATTCAAGGAATGGTACGATCTGGGCCCATCCGGTATGGCACGAAGCTGGCCTAGAGATGATGAGGATATTATCCAAAGCCCGTTCAAGCCCTGTGAGCCGAGCCCCTTTCTTGAACTTCCCAATTTCAACCACAAAAGCTTCCGTCCGGATGCTGCTCACACATATGCAATAGCAGGGTGGGGGAAGAGCCTGGCATCAAGCTCGGTGGTTCTCCTTTGCCGCCTTGGCTTCTTCGGTACAGGAAGCATACCGGTACGATTGGAGGAAGCATTCCTACAGTACAAAACCTGGTGCAAAAGACTTGGGAAAACGACCAGCATAACAGAGTTCAGTCTGAAGGCTTTCAAGATGAGCTCGTATTGTGGCGAATTATGATTTTCCTTTTTTGTCGAAGAGGTAACACCCTAGACTCTAAATCCCATTCCTTATCATACCATTGCAAGTTGCATCTAAGACAATATCGATATATGTACGGTTGGAGGGACAAGGTTTCAGTTTAGCTATACTGCTTTTGGGGTTTGGGTTCCGGTGCCTTACATCTATAATCTAAACATAGCTCGCCCAGGTTGAAGGAATATCCCTCTGGAGCTGGGAAAGGCTTCGACACAGCTGTGCTTCTGGCTTGGCTGCAGGATGTATGTCATACATGCAATGGACCATCGCCTCCCGAGGCTTCGCTATAACCCCAGAAAACCATGCTTTGACGTTCTTAATCAACGATCTTGTGAGACCTGCCCTTGGACTATCTCACAGTCACAGCCCAGGAGGAGCACCGAGTTCTATTTGACCTACTGGTGTGGACCCTGGACGTGTGCAATTTGCACTGGCGAATACTGTATGCCAATGGCATTTGGTTGAGTCAAAGAGATGCTGAGATGGCCTGTGAAGCCGGATGGAAGATGATGGCAGCCCGGCTTATAATGCAATAGTCAGAGCACCCTAAACCCTGATCCCATTTGGACTCGATCTGGAATTTCCCAAACTACAGGACCCGGACCCGAAAACCCTTCAGGAAGGCTACCAGCAGTTGGCATCTATGACTGCCAAGCTTCGATGGGTACTGTACAAGCTCCGTCCCAAATGCCACATGCAGCAGCATATCACGCAGCTTGGAAGGAAGGGTGGGGCCTTATAAAAGGAAGGGTGGGGCCTTATAATTATGTTTCTCTAGGGTTATGTTGTGTGGGGTTTGGTAATTCCAAGGCGGTCGTCTAACTGCATTTGGGGCTTCTGCCCTTATCCTAGGTTGGACATGGAACACCAGCTTTCTGCCGGAGCAACGTATGTAATCAACCCTTTATGTTCCTCGGCCGAAATCTCACATATAATTTTATAACCCGGAGCCCTGTACATAGTGTAAGCCGCTTTTATAAGTCCGATGTACATATCTAAGCTGTACATGATCGATGTACTTATTAAACCCACTGCAGCCTAGGCTATTGCTGCTGGACCGACGAGGATTACGTCGGCCGGGTAAGCCGTGTCGCTAGACGATGCCACTCTATGACATTAGCGATCAGGACGATACAGAGAAGCCTCAGACTTTACAAGAAGCAATTCCGAAGAGCTGTGTCATAGCCGAGCAGCAAAGTCGCCCGCCGGAGCTGCAAAAATCAAATCACAGAGAGCAGCGGTGCACGTGTGTGCATGTTTGTGTGTGTGTGAGAGCTCGGACCGATCACATGCGAACTTCGTACGTGCACTTTCCCATATCGAGAGGCTGGGCACGTGCAGTTTTGCAAATCCACGGGCGCTTTTCCATATTCAGGGTTTTTCGGAGGCCCCCGAATCGAGCAGAAACCCCTCGAGCAGGAATAAGTGTATCAAAGGATGGTCTAGGTAGGGTTAGGGGTTTAGGGGCGCCCATATAACCAGAAACCCTAAAGCCTAAACGTTGATTTTCATCGCTCACTCAAAAAGCTTATGAGACACTGAACAAGCTTCATGAAACTCTCTGAAACCCGTATGTAGCACCCATGCCCCTAAACTCCACAAGCGCAACCCTAAACCCTAAGTAACGTACCTTTTTAAGGTTCCTTACTATGATTTCCTTATATAAAAAGTAGGTTATTCAGGGTTAAAGTAAATCATATTAGGGATCCTGCCTTCCTTATTTAAGAGATACTGGAGTCTCTGGGAATGCTCGGTCCACCACCCCAGCCAGACTTGTTTTCGAGGCCTGAGACGGAGAGGTATTCTGCTGTCACCTCATGGGCATCTCTGGGTTCAGGGCTCGGGGTTTCGGGTTTAAGGGTTTAGTGGTTTAGGGTTTAGGGGTTTAGGGTTTAAGGGCTTGCTTGTTGGGTTTTAGGGTCGACGCTTGGAGGTTCAAGCCTTCAGGGTCTAGGGCTTTCGGGGCTCGGGCTTAGGGATTTAGGCTTTGCGGGGAGGGGAATGCTTTCCACTGTGATGTCCTTCCTTGAAATCGCGAGCCTGAAGCTTTGATGACATAGGAACTTAGAAAGAAAAGTCATCACGCGAGTGCCTTGACGTATTGAATTCTAGTGAAGTTGGGGAGTAGCCGGTACTTTATGGCCCGGATTGTACGCTTCGGAGATGGTAGTTTACTCCAGACAAGAGGGCGTCATCTGCGAGTTATGAGTCATGCACCCGCTTTCCAACCGCGCGTTTTTGCGGTCACCCCGTGGTTAGAAGGCGCGTGCCTACATCACGCAAGAGTACTGTCATGACTATTCTAAGCAAAGAGCAGGTTCAGGGGCAGCCGTGATGCCTGTGATTTATCCCTGTGCCGATGGTGTCGAAGCTCGCGTCGATATGTATGTCTTGACTGACGTCTATTTAGTGCTGCTATGCGATAAGCAATCTGTGCTGATTGTGCGCTATTAAAAGCCATTCCCCAGTCTAAGAAAACCCAGTAGCCTCTTAGAGATGTGGGCTTGGGGTTCGGAGATAGAGTCGGGCTGGCAGAGCGCAGTATCTTGGCACGGTCATACATTTCTTACAGGCCTCAGCTACCCACTCCAAACACAGGTGCCTCTCAGTGACCCTTTTTAGCGAATGCACCTTACCAAGGAAGGTGCCTCTAAGAAGACTCAATCCTCGCCCACATCATGGTTCCCTAGGGTGAAACCTTGAAAACCAAAGGCCCCGCGACCAGGAAGGGTTAGATTTTCTTTGCAGGGTGAGGGTCTTTGAAGGAGGGTAGTGCAGAGTTTGGGGTTTCGGGTTCAGGGTCCACGGTTTCTTGATCCTAAACCCCTAAACCCCTACCTCTAACCCCTAAACCCTAAACCCTAAACCCCTAAACCCCTAAACCCGAAACCCGACCCTAAAACCTAAACCCGAAACCATATACCCCAAACCTTTCCCTACACCCTAAACCCGAAACCCTCCAGCCTAAACCCTACCCTAAACCCGAATATTTGGCTTAGACAGGCCTCGAGTCCCGGGTTAAGGCGGGCACCTTGTCCAAAAAGTCCCTGGCAGTCATCTGGTTCTCCTCACCCTGGCCAAAGAAACGGGTTTGGGGGGGGTTTAGGATTCAAGGCTTCGGGCTGAAGGTTTAGGGGCTTTAAGGTTTCGGGCTTAAGGCTAAAACGCTTTAAGGTTTCGGGTTTAAGGTTTCGGGCTTTAAGGTTTCGGGGCTTTGGTTTCGGGCTATAAGGTTTCGGGTTGAAGCTTTCGGGTGTAAGGGTTTAGGGTTTAGGGCGTAGGACCAGAGAGACGTGAGCTCTGCGATAATTAAGGCTTGTCGGGTTTCTTAGAAACTCCGCCGTCCCTCGGATCCCCTTGTAGGGGTTATAAGGGTTGCAAGGGTTGTCAATGCTTTTAAGGGTTGTAAGGGTTGTATGGGCGTTCAGGGTTGTAAGGGCTGTAAGAAGGGTCATAAGGGATATAAGGGTCAGAAGGGTTTAGGGCTTGGGGGTACACCCGCAGCATCACAACCCCAAACCCTGAACCCTAAACCTTCAAAGCTGGCATCCACGACTACGCTGCCTAAGGATGAGATGCTGTAGTGCCGTAGTGGCGGAATCCTAAACCCCACACCCTAAACCCAAAACCCCTAATCCCTACTTGGAGGATCATGGGACTTAGTAAGTAAGGTTATAAGTACCTTAATTGGGGTTATAAGAAATTATAAGTATAGTTACCTTATTAATAACCCCAGTTACTAAGTCCCAGGGTTGAGAGGCTTGGGTTTGACACGACCGCAAACCTTTCGGCACAACGCCTCAGCTCTGCAACTGAACAAGAAAAATGCTCCCATTCAAATCATCCCTGAGTACGAGCTTGCTCAGTTCCTAAGAATAAAATATTGAACAAAACCAAAGACCCTGGACATAAAATCCCAAAACTCCAAATCTAGACGAATGCGAACCGCAACCCCGCTGGGTTTCAGGGTTTAGGGTTCAGGGTTCTACCTAGGAATTATGCCGATGCCGAGAGATCTCCGGTGGCGCACCTTACCTTGAAGCCCTAGCTGCAGCTGAACAGCAGGGTTACAGTTAGAGAGTCCATATAGCGCAAATCCACCCACACCCTAAACCTTAAACCCCTAAGCCTACATCCTAAACTCAACCCCAAACTCCAGGAACTTAACTTCTAAACAAGCTCCGATTGCCACGATCAGCAAAAACGCAGCCCCGGCATTGGTGTCAGCACATTCAAAGTCGATTCGACATCTGATATTTGCGCTATTACCCAATTTCTAGCAAATTCTTTCAACTACCCATCTAGATTAACCAGCAAAAGGAATAGGTACACAACAGGCAGCTATGTTTATTAAATGCGGTTCCGTTAAACACATAGTCATAGACGGCTCTGAAAACTGAAAACCCTGAACCCTGGGACTCGAACCCCGAACTTCTAAACCCAATAAACCCTGAAACGAACTCCCAATGTAGAGGCCTTAATGATTAGAGCTGAGTTCTGGGCTCCTCTGTAGTATAAACAGATTTACCCTGAAGAATAATATTGGAAACTATTTGGCTCCTTTAGCAATGATGCCCTAACCCGAATCCAGATGGTGAGGGAGAGCGGCAAGCCTGGCGCTTGAGTGCCCGGATGATGAGAAAAGCCAGCAGGGAGCAGGCCTGGCCAAAGAAAGAACAAAGCTCGGCCGTTTAGGGTTTACTATCGGGGCCGTAGTAAGTAGACGAGGGTTTTGGGGGCCCGATAAACGAGAAATATACGAGGGAAACCCAGTCTTATTTTAGGTTATCATTGAAGCCCCGTCATTGTACCTTTATATAGATCCCGTACAGTAACCCTATAAACCCTAGACTCCCAAGCCCGAAACCCTAAACCCTAAATTCCCACCCGGCCCCCGTGGGCCGTTCCCGCCCCAAAACGCCCCCCAAGCCTCCCTGGCCCCGGGCCCTGGCCCCCCTAGCCGCCGTGTTCCTAACCCCCTGCCTGGCCCTGTCCCTTTCTTTGCGGAGTGGGAATTAATTGAGGGCGCAAGCCCTAAACCCTGACAGGAAATGGTTTGGGTGGTTGCCTGTGGTATCATCACAGCGGGTGGGGTTTTGGAGAACTTCCGGTTTCACCGAGTTCTCGGACACATGCAAGGAACGTCGTTTGACGCGTAATATGCCGCCACCGACAAACCCTGGTGTGAGGTGGCGCCATCCTAGCATGGATTATCAGCCACTGCGCAAGAAGACATCCAAACCCCTAAACCCCTAAACCCCTAACCCCTAAACCCTACACCGTGGGGCAGCCTCTTAGGGTGTAGGGTTCTACGCCCATGTCAGCAGCAGGCCTCTGCTGCGATGATGCCCGGGTGAGTCGTGTACGAGGACTGACCTCGGCCGAGCCGATGGTAGGAGCCACGGTCTGAGGATTCCATTAAGGGGTCTATAAGGGATCTAAACCTGTAGGGTTTTTTGAGGGTTCCTTGAAGGGTTCCCTTAAGGGGTCTACAAGGGATCTATGGGGTTTAGGGTTCAGGGCTTAGGGTTTAAGGTTTGCTCCTGGAGCTCCAAAAAGTTTTAATTCCATCCACAAATCCTAAACCAAACCCTACAAAACTCTCTGTTCGGGCATCCATACAACAAGGATCCTGCAATTTGGGGCTATATTGGGGCCGCGTTTATCTCAAACTCCAGTGTACTCGTTTCGAGGATGTATGTCAGCTTGTGTCTGGCGTGCCCCAGGTGTATGGATGGTTTATGTGGATCCAAGAGGAGTTTTCGGTGTAGGCTTGAAGATGGACAGCCTAGTAAGGCTTACAGTAGGATATGGATCGACGGGGTTCGGGACTTGTGATCCAGGAATACACCCTACACCCTAATCTCATAGTAGATAGCCTTAGTCCTTGTTTCGAGACTCTGGATCATTGTACGCTTTAGGTCCAAGGACAGCCTTCGGGGTTTATGCATCTGGTGGAAGCCCTGACATGCGATCGACGTCGTGTACCCCCCAAAACAACCATCTCCAGCCTGAACATTACCTACTTCCCCAATAAGCCACAGAAACAAAAGGGTGGGACTTTCCGATTCCTACGAACCTATAAGAGCCCGAAAAGTTTAAAGGTTAGGCATTAGGGGATCTTGGACTATGAACACCCTTATTCCTCATGTTCGGTTGTAAGAAAGGGACCCCTAACTAAAAGGGCAACAGGGTACCACTCAGGAACCTAGTCATGCAATACATCAAACCCTGAACCCTAAACCTTAAACCCTGAACCCTACAACTTAAACCCTGAACCCTAAACCTTAAACCCTAAACCTTAAACCCGATGTTCATTGCGGCGTGCGGCGTCGTTGCCGATGCTAGGCAACGTGTCGACCAAGGCGTACTTAACATCATAACTTGGCTGACTTCTGAACCCCTCCTAAAAGTTAAACTTTTAGCCTCCTTACTATAGTTCATATAGAAACACAAAAAGTTAAAGTCTAAAGAGCCAACCAGAAGAACGCCAAGATAAATTCAGGGACTCCAATATCCAATAATTGGGCAGTATACCTTAAACTATAGTAGGATCCCTAATATGATTTCAGGTATAATCCTCCACTAAGGAATATACGTTCAGTTATAGTAGGATCCCTGTTAATATGGTTTCAGGTATATTCCTTAATTCTGAAATATACCTCAAATTATAGTAGGGTCCCTGATATGATTTCAGGTAGATTCCTTAATTGAGGGAATTTGGAGTTTCTGGGAAGCTTGAACCGCTTTGTGGACGTCGCCCCAGGACTCCAGCGTCCCTCGCCGAGGTGGCGTCTGGTGAGTGTTCTAAGGCTGAGTGGTACCCTGGTATGTCTGAAAAATTGGTGTTGCTGTGTGCCCCTGGCATCGTGACAGGGCAGTTCCGCGTGCAGCAGCGGCCTTTAGGATTGCAGAAATATTCGCTGCCGTCTTCGCCCAGGATGACGTACCAGCCGTTCTGAATGTGAACCTCAGGGTATGATAATCTCGTTAAGGCTCTACTCAAGCTCTGGAACCGTTTACACGGACAATCAGCTTGTCGACTCGCCAAGGACGGGCTTGCCCCCAAACGCTATCTCACTTTCATTCACCATCCCTCACCTGGTCGCGGATCGGCACCGCTGCCCTGAGCAACCCATTATTGCTAGACCAAGCTATACCCAGACCCCCGGGAGGATCCAAAAAGCAGATCCCTTGACGGGGGGTCCTATAAAGTACCCTTCGTAGTATAGGGCCCCAAATTAGGGGATCTTCTTTCTAGATCCTCCCGGGGGTCTGGGTAATTGGGTTGGGACCCATGGCGGGAAAACAGGTGCAGGTAACCGAGCTCTGAACCCTACAACCCCCTAAACTTTGGACCCCTAATAATCCCAAAACTTGAAACCCGCCCCGAACCCTTTGTGAACCCCTAAAGCTCGAAACCCCTAAATTCTGAACCCTCGCAGCCTTTTCAAGGCATGCAACACAAGCAGAACAAGTTGTTCATGCCCATTCTTCTTCGTAGTTCCTGCGCATCTCTAGGATGCAGACTATTTGTAGTGAAGCTTAGCAACAGTGTAGTGTGACATTGTCCTTGCATAATAGTATAAGATCGCAAGACCATGCGCACAGAGTATGCCCCTAAAACCTAAACCCTAAGCCCCAAGACCCAAAACCCAAAACCTTAAACCCTATACCCAAAACCCTAAACCCAAAACCCTAAACCCTAGACCCAAAACCCTAGACCCAAAACCCTAAACCCTAGACCCAAAACCCTAAACCCTAAACCCAAGACCCAAAACCCTAAACCCTAAACCCAAGACCCACAACCCTAAACTCTTAACCCTAAAGCCGGCTGCCTCCGCTACTTTCATTTGGGACCCCGGCGTGCAAAGTCGAGTACCTGTCGGGCGGCACTTGAGGGACGTAAATGGGAGTTTCCATAGGGTCTGCAAGGCCAGAACCGCGTCCCGGCCGAGTCTGCAAACCATGGTGTCCCGTTCCTCAAGGAGCTCTTTCAATGTGTCTTGGGCTACCCGCTCAAACTTTGCGAAAGGTATCACAGGCTCGGTTTGCTTGTCGTTTGCCACCATGTCCTCTACGGCAGCCACACACCTGGACCGTTTGCGCTCTCGTCCCGAGGCCCGCATGCAGTCCACCATTCGCTGCACTCGTTGCAGGCTACCTTCCGCCGCACACGCAAGACCTGCACCTTCATGAAATACTCTGTTGACTGCGGCAGGATCGTGGGGTCTCGGAGCGTCTTCCTCGACTTCCTCACTCCTCTGATGTTCGCTGTGCGCGAAGACGACAGTGATAACGACGGCCTGGCTCGGCTGGAAGCCGTGAATGCCTTGTTTCTCGCTGCCGCCCATTTGGACTGCTATGATGATCTCGGACAGACGTCGCTTATGTACGACCCTAATATAGCACCCTAAACAATGGGATCCTTATTTATGAGGACCACAGAATAAGGCACCCCATAATTTTCAGAAGCTCCCAAATAAACAACATCCAGGACAGACGCCGAGAGGAACACGCGTTTACGGTTGGGAGGCTTAGGGGCAAAAGGCTGGAGGAGCGTCCGCAGTGGAGGTAAATAGTGGCACAAGGACTAATGGGTGGTTGGGTCCCAATTTGGGTCCTGAATTTAATACGGCACCGAAAATTTAGGGTAATTACCCAAAAAGGGGCCATAATTCTGACAACTACCCATACTATCCTATACTACTATCCTAAACCCTAAACCTCTCAACCCGAAACCCCAAACCCGAAACCCCTAAACCGAAAACCCTAATCCCTAAACAGCTACCCTAATCACAGAAGCAGCTGCAGGCCTCTTCCATCGGAGCAGCATGGTAGTAGATGGCGATTGGGGCAAATCGCATCAAGCTTCCATTCCCTGCAACGTGGTTCCAGCGTTACGCAGTGAAAGGGCCCAGACTGCTTTGTTCCCACTGCTGCAAAACCCTCAACCCTCAACCCTAAACCCTCAAGCCTAAACCCTAAACCCTAAACCCTAAACACTCAACACTCAACCCTAAACCCTAAACAAAGGTTCCACCTGATCGCGAACAGCCGAGGCCCCAAAAACCGAAGCACCGAGACCATGCACTTAAATGGTGGGACCCCCAGCCCCTGACCCTACCTGTAGCCGGAAAGACCTACCTTTTGAGGGTTCCTTATTATGGTTTCTATATATATATATATATATATATATATATATAGTTTCTCAAGAAGGTAGGTCTTTTCGGTTACAGGTAAACCCTAAACCTTAATCGTAGAGCCTAAAGCTCTTCGAGTCTTTTTGGTCGAGGTTGTCAAGGACGAGAGCGCTGTTTCGGCAGTTGGTGCATCCTAATCCGTGACCGTCGGCATGTCTGTATGGTTCCAATTAGGGGCATTTGGGATATAGGGTTTAGTATTCTGGCTTAGGGCTTGGATTGATAGTCTTCGTCTAGACCATCCAAAACTACATCCGAATTCTTCGGGCCCCTCGTTGTCACGCCGTTTGAATGAAAGATTCGGACCGAGGTGTATGTGAGTCGGGGGTTTAGCGTTTAGGGCCGGGTTTATCGCTGGGGGCTTCAACGTTACAGTGTACTTGGAGGTTCATGGGTAGTTATAAGTGGGGTTATAAGTCCCTTATTATGGGTGGTAAGTATAGTTACTCTACTTGTAACCCTACTCATAACTACCCATGAATCTCCAAGTAGGATTTGCGGAGTACTGCAAGGGTTGAGGGTTTAGGGTCGCTTCATTAACCTACGTGTCGGGTATCATGGGGAACTAAAAGCTAACCTTTTTGGTTAGTTATATAGTGATTTTCCAGGGACTATACTACCCAAAAAAGGTTACGGGTTGCCTACTCTACTACTTAACAGCGAGCATTGTACTGGATTTGGAAGTGTTTACACTCGCCCAAGTGCACCCTAGACCGTAGGATCCTTACTATAAGGACCCCGAGATAAGGTACCCCTAATTTTCAGAAACTCTCTTATACGAACCAGAGGTTCCGGGTTAGAGGGACCTAGAACCCTAAACCCTAAACCGCGGTTTTCGGGTTTATCGTAAGGGATGGTAAGAGCTTTCAGTTTAGGGTTTACAGGGTTTTTTTTTTTTGAGCCCCTTTTTGATGCCTGCTCCCGGGTCACACACATCAAGACCTAGTAGGTCAGGGGAATTAGGGTTTAGGGTTTAGGATGGTAAGGGCTTCGGGCTACGAGGATCTGGGGGAGCCAGCAGTCTGCTTTTCGCCAGATACCGCGTCGGAGTTGGAGTTGCAGCCTCTGCCAGGATGGGAACTGCTCAATGCTCAGCTTCTCAAAAGGGGAAAAGGAGGGACCCTTAATGGGGACCCCTGATCTATAATGGGTAAAAAATGGCTATGTTAAGGGTATATACCTAGGGGTCCATACTAAGGGTCGCTCAGCTTCTGAACCCAGCATGTACTATACTGAACTTAGAACCCCAGCAAAATCATAATTTTAGCTCTCTTAGGGATTATAATAACCAAAACTTATTTCTAAGTACCCCTAAGTGTAGGGCCGAAGGATTTGTAGGACTTTCGGGGATGATCCAGGATGTAGGTTAAAAGTCTAGGGCTTCAGTGTTGCATGCTTTAAAAAATTGAAGGTGTCAGACATGGCGCTTTGAGGTTTACCACGCTACGACCCGTCTGCCTACTCTAAGTCAGTCGCTCTATTCACCTTCGGCCAGAGCCCTATAAACCGCTAAACCCTAAACACTAACCCTAAGGGCCCAAGCAGTCCATATTTATGGTTTTGGGTACCTAATAATAAGGCCCTAACGTCCTTGGATAGGGAGTACGTGAAATCTCTGGGTAACAATTTTCAACCTCAAATGCAATCCCTGCAGACCCTGCAACCGAAAACACTTTGCCCCAAACCCTGACCACTACCCCCAAAGCCAACCCCTTACATCCTAAAACACAATAGAACCGAAAAAACATCATAATCCTAGACCCCGAAATCCCCCCTAAACCCTTACACCCTAAAGCACAATAGAACCATAAACCATGATAATCCTAGACCCCGAAATCTCAGGAACACTAAAGTAACAGCCAGAAAGTTGGAATATGATTATCCTAAGCCCTCTATGGTAAATTATAAGGTATCCTACCCTGAAACCATATTCCAACTTCCTGGAGCTCCCTTTAATCCAAGCCGCCTTCACCTGCCGCTCTCGAAGTAGAGCAACGAGCATGCCGAGATTGTCTGGAGCTCCAGGACAAAGCTTCGGCTTTGTAGGTTTTAGGGTTTAGGGTTTAGGGTATAAGGTTTAGGGCTTAGGGTTTAGGTTTTACAGACTTTCATAAGGGGTTTCATGATGCTTCAATGCGGCTTTAATACACTGGCCTCAAAATGGGTTTACCCATAGGCTCCATAGTAATTCCTTGTTGGGGTTGATATTTAGAATCCTATAAGGTAAGCCCCAAAGGAACTGCTATGGAGCCTATGGGTAGGGTATTCTTCAGGGTCTTCGAAGGAAGCCTGGCCTCGGGTTGAGGAGGCTGAGGGTTTTAGAGTTTAGGATTGAGGGTTTGGGGTGTGGGGTTTAGGGACTTCCCGATTTGCAAGAAACCCTACATGCGTAGGCGTCCTTACTTTAAGCGTTTTGCAAACTTCCTTCAAAAGGTAGGCTCTCGAAGGCTTCGGGTGTTTCTGTGGGGCCAAGGTTGGACATGAAGGGTTTGGACGGAGGGCCGCCGATTCTCGTAGGGCGCAAGAATGGAGCCCGGCAAGAAACTCCCGAATGTGAAAATCAGGGTGAGGTTTGCGGTTTAGAGCTTTCCGGTTTGGGGTTCTAGGAGGATTTGGGATTTGGGGTGTTTAGGGTTTGGTACTGATAACGAGCAGACTACTTGGGGTTTGAAGCATGGGGTCCTTCTAGTGAGGCTCATATCCTTTGGCACTAGGACCTTCTATGGCAACCAGGGAGAAGTGCAGCATACTCCCGAACCTAAGCCCTGAATCCCTTGCTGAGGTCTCGTTGTACTTACAGCAATGCACCGTAGACGCTAAACTCACACTGAATCTTCCTACACCCTAAACCCTAAACGCCTAAACCCTAAACCCTGAATCTTAAAACCTAGGCCCTAAACTCAGCGCAACCAGTCACACAAGCCAGGTCTCGACCCTCTATAGACACTTAGACTCAACCCCTAACCCCTAAACCGTCAACTAGGGGTCGATCTCAACAGTTCCCGGCTTCTTTCACATAGTTCCCAACTTCTTTCATATATTGCTCTACATTAAACAATAAGGGCAAAGAAACTCCCAAATCGATACCTAGTATACCTAGTCAATGAGCTCTAGGAACTATAAAACTCCTAAACCAACGCCCGTCCTCCATCGTGGCAGCGTTTTGGACTTCGTCGTCCGGCCCTCGCGCTCCATCGGGGCATCCTCGGCCCGAAACGAGCGCTGCACTCGAAATCCTTAAATCTAGAGTTTGGGTTTAAGGTTTTAGGGTTTCGATGGGTTTCGGGTGTGAGCTTTCGGTTGTAGACAACAGGAGAAACTCTACAAATGCACACTCCAAACCTTCAGCCTGCAACAGCAACGCTACGCAAGCTCATCTGCAACTCGTTCGCCGACGTTCTATTAGCAGCGCTTGGCCGTCAGGAAGACACCCAGAGACTCCAATATCCCTTCTTGAACGAATGTACCATAACTCATATTAGTATCCCGACCAGAATTTAAGGTACATTCCTTTACTCCCTTATAGAACTTTTATAGATCCCTTTAAGGAGCCCCTGGGTATATTCTCTAACTAAGGGATATATTTCTTGCATCCTCGAGTTGCTCGCCGGTTGAAGCATCCCCAGAGACTCCAAAACCCCTTAATTAAGGAATACCTAGGGTTACAGGGCTCCTTTAAGGGATCTAAAGGGGATCTATAGGGTTTAGGGGGGTCTAATATCCCTTAATTAAGGAATATACCTTAAATCATATAAGGGATCCCTCTTATAATTTAAAGTATGTTCCTCAATTCCAACACCAGCAAAGCCGCCGCACTTGCATTTCAGCACACGATTTAGGGTTTGGGGTTTAGGGTTTAGGGTAGGGTTTAGGGCTTAGACCTTGCATTTCGGACAGGGCTGAAGGGCTGGGCCAAACTCTGGGCAAGCTTTTTAGCTGAGCCTTCGGATACTTGGAGGTTCATGGGTAGTGATAAGTTGGGGTTATAAGTCCCCTGATATGGGTTATAAGTATAGTTACCCTGCTTATTAAAACTACCCATGAACCTCCAAGTATCCGGGTGCAGGCCTGCAAACGCTGGAAAAATCTAGAGAAAAATCCGACGACCCCGTCCTGCCGCCAAGGCGCTCTGTTTTTTTTCTAGATCCCTCGTCCAGTCCAAAGAGAGGCTCCTGCCACTGGGTACTCCTATCCGCGGCAAACCTTCTCCCTACAAATCACCACTGCATCAATCAAGACCGAAGCTTAGTCCTGGCTATCGATGCAGGCTATCCTTCAAATTGGCGGAAGTCGTCATGTCACAAAGGCTGTGAGTTTCAGGTTGGCGGTAGGAGAAAGAAGCAGCTGTCATGCCCTTGGCCGACCGTGACGAAAGCAGAGAACCTTAGCTCCTGCTGCCCCCAACAGCAACAACAGACCACGATTAACAAGCCCCACGACCAGAACCAACCTCCTGTCTAGTATACTTTAGTGTAGTATATTGTGCGAAAATTAGTGTGTCATAGCTCGAACTAGCATAGGATCCAAGCCATCAGTCTAAACTGAGAACTTTTTGGATAGGGCTACGCTGCAGGCAAGACAGAGTCCAACGCGCTGGGTTTCACGCAGTCAGGGTTTGATGCCCTTGAAAACCCCAAACCTTAAACCCCTATATAGAAACCCTAAACCCTAATTGTCC